TGAGATTAAATATTTAAATAATGACAAATACATTAATTTATTAATAATAAATATTGATTCATTAATCAAATATAATAAATCGRATAAAATATCTATATTTCAAATACCTACTCAATCGGATTAGTGTTTTTGAAATAAAGATTGGTTGAATAACTAAAATTATTAATGCAAATTAAATCTCTTGCATCTCAATCTATATATGTATAATATATTTCTAGGAATCTTTGAGTATTTAAATTGAATAATTTATTGTTTTATACAAATTACAGGACTAACTTTCTTATAAATTGCTGTGCTGCAATCTTTCTATATAGATTACTTGACAAGTTTAATTAATTCCATCAATTTATTTTATTTTATTTTTTTATATTACCTTCGTAAATAATACATAATTAAAATTATGCTATAATAATATATTTAAGCACTATTTTTATTTTATTTTTTATTTTTATACCTACGTTATCTTAAGTATACTTTAATTGTTAAGGTATATTAGTTGTTCACCAACATCTAATCGCGGAAAATACCCAAGTATGAATACAATTATTCATAGTTAAAATTCATAAAAAATCTAGTAGCTAAGTATTTATAAACCACATTTAAATGAAAATGTCATACTTTTCGCTAACTTCGTCGTACATTTTAAAAGTTTATAAAATTACTTAACAGATTTTAACAGTTTTAAATAGATATTAATATAGATATTAATAAATAAATATTTCCCACTGGCCTACTTGGCTGTTATATTTTAAATATAATTCATATTCATCTTTCTTCATTTGCAAAATGTTTAATAATGYGCATATTTCATTAAAAATGAAGAGAGTACCCATCTATTATTTTGGTTTTACAATAAATATGTATTTTTTTTTTAATTTTACCAGTAAATTGGTAAGCGTTTTGTCGAAGATAACCGATCCTCGCTCACAAATGTGATGGTTTATACAATTTAAAAAATTATATATTAATGACATAACACAAGCTTGATGCTCAAGACGAGTTTTATGGTTAATTATTATGTACAAACAGCCAACAAAAATCATTGGCCTGGCGTATGTTCTATTTGATCTTAATAATTAAAATAAATGAAATGCATAGGTAGTTATTTAATTTTTTTGGTAATAAAATCAAATGAATATATTGATATGGTGTACATCTCAGTGGTCAACTTAACGCTGACAAACAATGTTATATATTTAAACAATTATAAATTTTGTATTTAATAAGTTGCATATTGTTATTCACACTACCTATGTTACATACTTACTGTAATTTATATTTTTATATTCGTATAACGAAACTTGAATGGCGATTTACTTAATATAACTACAGTAGACACTTTGAAAACTATATTCTATAATATACGTGAACGTGATTTTTTATCCAAACATTTTTTACGAATAGATCGTTTAACAAAAATTACCTATTTTTGATACAATATTACTGTTTACATAATCTATATTATACAATATGTATAAAAAATATTCATTCTAAATTATGCAATAGACAATAGGTTATAGGTTCTTAGTTATTAAAAACCAATTTAAAAATATTTTTGATAGAACCAACTGATGAATAATAAGCGTAAATGTTTATTAGGTATTATTTTAAAGCAATACAATTTATAGAATATT